ATTGTTTAATCAAATAGGATGAATTTTAAATGCTGAAGGTCAAATATCACCCAAAAAAAGCAGCTTTTAAGAGGTTGCGTGCTGTTTAATTTGATTGGAACCCATTATTTTAAAATTACAGCATCTTTTATTGGTAATGACTGTGCCACGAATTCAAAAAGGAAAAAGATAATGATGCCAAGACAATGATATTAGCAGATTTTTAGTTTGAAAATGGGGTTGCCAATTAGACAATTTGATATTATAAGTAGAAAAAAAAAATCTTCTCTCAGATTTATTCTGTTTTGATTGGTCCACTGATAATGCACATTGAATCATGTGTTACTGGGCCAAAAGTAACAACATTTATCTATCAATCTTTTGTGAATATCGTTTTAGAACCATGCTTTACGTATATGGATTATTTTCACATGGCACTCACACATGAGGATTTTGCGCATAATTTTTTTAATACATGATGGGTCCCACCCCATGTGAGTAGCATGGTGGGCTTCTGCGAAAATAATCCCTGTATGTGGGGATTAATTCATCAGTTTATGTCATAATTTATTGCTTCATTTTGTGTAATTGAATCAAATTAGAAATCGACCTACCGAAATTATTGTTGCTTGGCAACGCTAGATTAGCAAAGACATAGTTTAATTTCGTGTTATTATAGAAATTTTTTTTGAAGAAAATTAACCTACTTTATTCATTATCAACTTAAAGTTTTCCACTTTTTATGTCTTGAAACATGAAGGCTTAAAGGGATGAGTCAGCTTTCTCTTGGTCAAGGTGGAAAGAGCCAATCAAATAGAGACAAATAAAGTTGGAAAAAAAATTAGGGTCTGTTTGAATGTAAGAGTGGAATTTGGGTGGAAAAAAATGAATTTCAGGAAATTGAATTACCTTGAATTGTTTTCCTGTGAATTGTCAATTAATTGTATTTGATTGATATAATTTTACACTCTACGAACCGCTAACTTATTCTCACACCGAAAGAGGGACCAGAGTCGAGAAGCCCGCATTTTCTACTTTTGTAGGACTTTTCTAGTTGATAATCAGAGACCAGTAGAAGCGATTAATTGAAAAGTATCATTTTATCTAAATGTTTTCTTAATTCTATCCAATCTTAACATAAACCATACCATAAAAGTTTTAGCTTTATCTCTGGTAAAGAAGTATGATTGCATGCCAACTCTCATAATTTATTTTATTTAACCATTTAAAACTTGAGTAGATGAATTCATGTCATCATCACAAATTTAAATAAATATTAGTTACGAAATAAGACAAATACAAAGAGATTACTTGTCATCCTCAAATTAATCGGTATTATATTGGTGTCCAAAACAAACAAATTAACGTACAGTAAATGCACCATCATGTATTAAATATATTCTATTGGTACACGTTGAAGTGATGATATGTAACTGCTTTTCAATTTTACAACTTTATTTTTATTTTTATTTTTTTAAATTTGAAGTTAAAATTTAAATAACTAAATTTATCTTGTACTTAATTATGTGCCAATTTGGCCGGATTCTGTTTTTGCTTTTGCTTTTGCTTTTGCAACCTGTAATTATACTACTTTCAAAAAAATTATTCAAATAAGTTCAAAAACATTGCCAAACGTGCCATATGTAAAGTTTTAAAAGTACAAAGTAATTGTAGATTTGAGTGATATGGAGTAAAATCTGTGTAGAAACATGAGTATGCTCTGCAGTTGCACCTTCATGGTGAACCTCTGCATCAGAAAGTGTTTTATTGACTGTATGATCTGTCCGGGGTTACAGTGATTCACAGCAAGTCCGAAAGTCAGGCACTTTGTAGAATGCCTATTGAGACGCTGTGTGGGCTAGAATACCGTGATTTGCTATAAGTTGCTGTCACTCCGCTTATTTGGTATCAGACAAAAACTTGTTTGGATTAGTTAAATAAATGAATGTGTCGATATGCAGAACAAAATAATATTAAACATAAAAATATAAAAATGTAAATATTGTTTAATCATATCCAGACCTAACTAAAAGACAATTTTAAAACCATTTATAGGATGAATGGCGAAGGTCAAATATCACCCAAAAAAAGCAGCTTTTAAGAGGTTGCGTGCTGTTTAATTTGATTGGAACCCATTATTTTAAAATTACAGCATCTTTCATTGGTAATGACTGTGCCACGAATTCAAAAATGAAAAAGATAATGATGCCAAGACAATGATATTATCAGATTTTTAGTTTGAAAATGAGGTTGCCAATTAGACAATTTGATATTATAAGTAGAAAAAAAAAAAAAAAATCTTCTCTCAGATTTGTTCTTTTCGATTGGTCCACTGATAATGCACATTGAGTCATGTGTTACTGGTCCAAAAGTAACATCATTTATTTATCTATCTTTTTTGTGAATATTGTTTTATGGCATACTTTAGTTCTTCATTTTGTGTAATTGATTCAAATTAGAAATCGACCGATCGAAATTATTGTTGCTCGGCAACGCTAGATTAGCAAAGACGAGAAATGAGATCGAATATTATCAGATAGTTTAATTTCGTGTTATTATATATAAAAAAAAAAGTTTCGGAAAAAATTTCTTTATTCACTATCGACATAAAGTTTTCCACTAAAAGGTCTTGATTGCTAGCAGCTTTCTCTTGGTCTTGGTCAAGGTGGAGAAGTTAGCCAATCAAATAGAGACAAATAAAGTTGTTGAAAAAAATTAAAGAAATATTGATGTGAAGGGATCAGGATCAACTATTTTTTAATGTTATAGATTCTTGTCTCAAAAGACAATTTGTGTTTCCATCTTTGAGTCATTTTTCTTTCTTTTTTCAATAAGGTCTGCAGTTCATTTTTTATTTAAATGATGGTAACGAAAAAATATATTGTGATGCATGCCACTACATTTCGTGGTAGCTGCTTTGATCAAGTTTCGTTTAATGCCTGATCAAGAAGAAGTCTTGCGATCCATCATTTATTGTACGAGCGATCTTAAAAGTTGACAAGGTGCTATGGAAGGCAAATTGATCTTATACCAACGAGAGCAAGAGCTCAACCTCGTACATTGAGTCCACATGGATATTTGATTGGTCATCCTTATCTTCTAATCCTGCCCTCCCCTCCCTTATTCCCATCGAAAATTTAAGAAACCCTAGGACATCTATCTCATGAGCTAGTCCTGGTCCTGGCCCAAGCTACCTAGGTAGTGGCCTTGGGCCTGAAGATGTGTGGGGCCCCAGAAAATTAAAAAACCCATTAATGACATTTTTTTAAAAAAAGAAATTGGGAAAAAGTATAGGAAATTTGTGAAATTTTCTTGGATTAAATTTTTTTTTGAAGATGTAGTAGTGCAAATAAAGGAAAAGGTGGAATTAGATATATTAATTGAATTTAATTAGGCTACTGCCTTTTAAATGTAAAAGGAATCTTTATAGTTGTTTG